TCTTTATGATCCAGTGGCATTGAATGATGTACCTACATTGGAGAGAGAATGGGATGATGCGGACGAAGATGAAGATGATGATAACATCGACGACGAATTCAATCAAATTGTTTTTTTTTACTTATACTCTCATTATATTACCTTTTTCACAAATCTGTATAATAAAATTAATTCAAATATTTTTTCAAAATTTTGAAAAAAAAAATATTTGAAATTTTATTTCCGAAGAAAATTTTTTTCTGATTCATGTTCAGGAAGTCATAATTAGTCTAGAAAAAAAATTTCATCAAATTCTGATCACGCCGCTATAGTAAAATTTTTCCAAGGCCCGTTCACATTCTATCAATTAAAGAAGTTCTTTTTTTTTCTTCTTTCTATTTACAGGAACCCATCCCCTGAGGTTACTTACTAGTCAACCTGATTAGGGGAGTTCGGTAATTTGAACCCCCTTTAGCTACCCGTAATAGACTCCTTGTCGTTCTATCGAGCTTATCGAGGTGTTGACTGCATGCAATGATTCGCTGATGAGATGGCACAACTAGCAGAAGATATGGCAACGGTCTTTTGGTGTCCTTATGATATTGATATATCACTTAAAGATGAGTTATCATTTCGTTGTTCAACATGCTGTCACATATGCGAGGAACCATTCGGATCTGAAGATAGGAAAGTGCGCGATCATAACCATCTCCGTCCTAAAAACAACTATCGTGGAGTTATCGCACATAAAAGATGTAACAAATTATAAACACTCGTTGTGCCGGTTGTCTTTCACAATTTAAGCGGGTATGATGCTCACTTTATAATCTCTGATATTGCCACACGAATGAAGGAGGGTATCGATCTACTTCCAATTACTAAAGAGAAGTACATCTCCTTTATTAAACATATTAAAGATTATCCAATCCAGTTCCGGTTCAAAAAGAAAGCGACTCAGGAAGAAATTAACAGAAAATGGAAAAAAAGAAAAGTAGAAATTGATTATATTGATTTTACAAGACCGGTTTCTAATCATTTTGCAGAATGCCAAACGGCTACAGAATATTTTTTGAAATTTATTGAGCATCTATTGGCAACATTATTTTTCGGAGCAATCTCTATACTGTTCAGCAAACTAAAGTTTTGAATACTAATATGCTTATGGGGTATCACATTTTACTTTCTTGAAGATACTACTGGTCAATAGTTCCAGACTTAGGTATTCCCTTTAGTATCCAGTACCATGAGTAGATTGAGGTTTGCTTCTATATTATCTAATCTTCACATCAATAATAATTTACAGATTCCTCATCACAATACTGACAAATTACAAACGAAAGTGCTTAAATTAATCGATTCTCATATTAGACCAAGTCCATTTGAATTTGTAAAAATATTCTTAACTCTTCCACATGTCAAGGAAAACAATTTAACCGGCCTTATAAAATGTTAGAATATCAAACAAAATTTTTAGACGAATTGTGGATTTTTAAAAAAGTAAAGGTTTTAGATAAAAATAATAAAGATGTTACAAACTATAAAATGCATTAAAGGTTGGATAATATCTCTTGTAGCCCTAAAATTGATATGGGAGAGAGTAAGTTTAATTGGTTTTGAATATGTATTGACAAGGCGTTTGAATTAGGACGCTTTAGACATTTTTTTTGGGGAAAATTAAGCAGCAAAGTGGAAATTGTATCAATCCGACAGCCACTCAATTTCAGTTTTTTTTTTTCGATTTCTGAGTATTGACATATTTAATTCTGGGTCACAGAACTGTCAAGGAGATACGGACAATATTCTTTTAAAAATAGCTGATTTTCCAAAATATAACACTACTGTTGAGACTCCTGTCTCTCTGGCACTAATTTAGATATTTAAAAAAAAATTGCATAACATATACGTGGATATCTAATTTAAAAGTGCCTAGAATGTCATAATTATAAAACATGCAAAAGATATTCCAAGTCACAGAGTTTAATGAGATAACCATTTACCCTTATTTTAGAGCATACGAAAACAATACTAACGATACTTTTGGAAATCAAAACATGCCAAATGAAGATTTTGTTAATTTTGTAAATTAGATTATGTATTTCATGAGAATTTTGAAAACTTGGTGATTGAACATATTCTTTAAAAATGTGTTGTACAATTTAACCATCCTTGTATGGACTTTCCTGTTAATCATTGCAAAACATTGTTCAGTCGGGTACGTTTGTACTATTCTTTTAAATTTATTAACAGGAAATTTAAAAATAAAAAAGTGTAGAAAAAATAAGAAAACAAATTAATTATATGGAAACACAAATTGTTTAAGTCTTCACTTATTTAGTATATGTAAGTTTAAATTAAAAATTATCATCCAGTATGAATCGTAATATTTCATATATATATTATTCTCATTACATATACTTCGCCAAGACGGTATTGCCCTAATTAGTAAAAGACCACATCCGCGTGGCAGAGAATGATTCTTCAATTCAACCGGTTCAACCGGGCGAACCTCAGTATCGCCTCAAATGTCGTAGAGTACAGACGTGTGTTCAAGCTTTGTGATCATTCGATACAAACCCGCAAATTTACATTCCCGAATATTCAAATACCAGCCCTAAAATACAGTCCACGACCCCTGCAGCTTAGGGTGGACGCGTCAAGAAAAGAAGTCTGCGTCAGGAAGCCAAGGAAATTAAAGGTAGGACCTGATTGGCGAAGATTTAAATTTTGGGTATCAAACACTGAAAATAAAATTTGATAATATTAAAATTGAAAATGGATCAATCAAATAAAAATTGTAATGAAAGTGGTGGTGGGCTTAGACATGTGATAAAATTGCTGTGGTATGAAGAGCTCGTTTGAAAGTATGCATTTCGGGATTACCATCTATGGGAGATTCAGATGTGAAAAATCCAACCATTAATGAGGTATCGTCTGATATTAAATCAGAAAAGAATGGCCACCCCAATCAACTAATTAATATAATATTAGTAAAATATGATTAATTATTCATTAATTAATAATAGGTATTCATAAAAATTATTTTCTAGTGTTTAGTAAGTATCTATATATTATTTTAAATTATTACAAGAATTTCAAAATATCTATCTGCAATATTTATTTAGCTCAGTTACATACTATATGTTATAAATAATACCTATATAATATTTTAATTATTTCAGGTATTTCAAGATATTAGAGATATAGAAAAAAATTAAAGTATATCTTCAATTGCTGTTCCTCCATCTACTTCACAATTTTTACAAATTGTAACAGATGGAAATACACGAAAAGTAAATCTACTAACTATAAGCATGTTCAAGAAACTTTTTTAAAAACGTAACAATATTTGTATATTTTCAAATAAAAACTTTGGTATTTCCCGTCAATATATTAATAATTAAAATAAAAATTAGACACTACACATGTTTTGGTCTTACAAGCCGCCTTCTGGTGCAGTCACAATTTAAAAAATACTGTTAGGGAGACATTACAAACAATTAAAAACATTAAACTTTTAATTTTTAGAAACGCTCAGGAAATTTTAAAAACACTAAGTAGAAGCGAAAAACAAAATGAGGTAGAAGACACAAAAAAACTAATTGCTTCAACAATAGAAATATGTGACTTACAGAAACAGTGCTATAAAAGTAGATAGAATTGGTGCGTGTACCCACTACTTTTAAAACCCCCCACTACTTTTATTCGCGCCTCCCCAAATACCACCTCCTCTCTTTTGATTGGTTTAATTCCCCTCCACTTCTATTTTAAATTACCCCCAAATTACCACTTCCTTTCTTTTTATTGGTTAAATCCCTCTCCACTTTTTAAATTACCCTCAAATTACCACTTCCTTTCTTTTGATTGGTTAAATCCCTCTCCACTTCTAATTTAAATTACCTCCAAATTATTACCTCCTCTTCTGTGATTGGTAAATTTCCCTCCACATTTAATTTATATCCCACTAAAGTACTACCTACATCCAACCTGATTGGTTACCTTTGCCTCCTCTTACATATTGTTTAACCGAAACCATTTTTAATATATTATCCCACCAATAAGATATTAGTACCACCTCACAATATACTCGATCCAATAAAACCAACAATCTCATTTTCATTGGTTACTTTCTCCAGTTAAAAATCTAACCAATTTATTCTCAAACCAATGAAAAATTATTATTAACACCACTCCACAATCAACACCTTCCAATGAAATAATTTCAAACAATTTTTACCACTACTAGATTTCAAAATTATTCAACGAAATTAATTTAATTTTTTAACGATTTACCTACATACATAATTATTCTTTTCGTGAAAGCGAAAACGTCACGACAAGATGATAGTAAGATTTACCTTTATATCCAAAAGTGAATGTAGTCCGCTTATGCATTTTTACCGAAAGCAGGACATAAAACTTTCACATAATCTCATAATACAAGTGCATTTTTTTTAAAGTGGAATGTTGGACCTGATTTCAAAAGTGAAAATATTTTCGTACGTTGTAGGATTAAAAATATTAAAGTTATTAACCATACTGATCAATCTCTTTTGTAATACACAATAATGGAAACAATTTAAGTAGGTTAAGGTATTATATAAATACTGAAAAAATTTATCACAGAATTAGTTGTTTCAAAGCCCTTGCAAACAAAAGTTTAAAATGTCGTCTCAAGCTTCAACTAGTAAAATAACAAAAGGTAGTAATAAATTTTTAAAAACTAAAATAGCAAATCAAAATACAGAATTTAAATTAAGACTAAAATCTAAAAAAATGAACATTTTACAAAACATAGTTATAAAACAAAAAAATGATAAAATTACGAATTATTTTAATAAAACAAAAGAAGAACAAAACTTGTTTAATAAAATAACAAATGATTTGGAAATTCAATTAGTATTTGATGAGGAAACTAATAAAATATTATGCGAGGTTGATTGGCCTTATCCACCAACAAAAATTAATTTTCCTAATTAACAACTTATTATTTTAACTTTTTAATATTAAATAAATAACATTAGGAAAGACATTACCGGGAACAGTTAAAATGTGTTGAGCCTGAAACTAAATCCTCAATCAAAAAAGTGAAAACTGATGAAGAAGGTATTATCTATTTATTTTATTTTTATTTCATATCTAATAAAAGTATTTTTTAGATTGGTTCTGTGATACGTGTAAGTTGCTTATTAAAAGCAAACTGAAGAGTTCGCATTTAAGAAGCATAGCTCACAAATCTTTAAGTTGGGTTCCTGAAAATGAGGAAATTGAAGTTTGTCGCACCGCATGCGGACGAAAAGTTGTCACCTACAGAATATCAAATAAAAAAAATTTAATTAAGTTAAAAAAATTCTTTGATGACATTAAAATAAAATTGACACACCTTATTCAACATGAATTAACAAAGCACACATGTTTGAAAGGTCATTTTGAATTATTTGCACTTTATCAACAACCATCCAAAGAAATAAGAGAAATTAAGTCGTTAATTACCAAAAATAATATAATTACACATTCTACAGATTTGGACGAGTTATTGGAAAAAACATATTTGGAAATTTACGGGAAAAGTCAGGATTTTCAGGAACGCTTATCAGGTAAATATATATTTTAATTATAATTATTTTTATTTCTCTTTCTTTGTACCAAGCATTCAAATAAGAACGGACGTTGTAAGTTAGGTTAAGAATATCAAAATCTATATAAATTTTAACTAATTACTTCTTTATCTGTTTATCATTAATCATACGCATTATTAAACAAAGTTAGTAATCTGATAATAATATTTAACAATATCATTTAATTACTTTTACAAGGTAACTTTTTCCCAAAAATTATACGACGTATAGTATATAAAATACTAACCTACGGCCGTCAACAACAGAATGTTCTTTTTTTATTTAAACATCAAATACAAGTGATTTAATCAATAAACAATGCTTATATTCTTATAATATATTTTATGTTATAATAAACTGTATTCCCAAAACCTTACTTTTGTACACTTTTCCTCAAATATCTTGAAAACTATTTATTTTAGAGACATCATATATAAAACAAAAATTATACAGAATAACATCACTAACAACTTTTATTCAAATATTTTTTTTAATTCGAATTTTTCACTTTTTATTAAATTTCTCGAATATGAACCATTTTAGAAAAATTAAATAAAAAACAAAGTTATAGAAGATTATAATGCAAACAACTTTTATTTAAAGAATTTTTTTCTCCAATTGTAAATAACAGAGATATTTATTAAAGTAAAAACGACACCCCATGAAGTACCCCCTAAGATGTTTTAAATATATTCAAAAGTTAATCAATTTATCACAGTAAAAATTATAGCTTAAGTTTCAAATTTGGTGTTTTCCGCTTTATCCGTTTTTGAGTTATCTTTAAATTAAAAATTTGCAGTTTTCCTCAAATATCTCGAGTACGATCCATTTTAGGGAAATTATTTATAGAATAACATAACAAGAAACTTTCATTTAAAAAAAATTTAAAAAGTAGATGGTGTTTGCAGATTTTAACTTTTTTGAAAAGTCGAATTATATTTGAAAATATAAATATTAGTTATCTATTATACATAATAACAACCTGGCAAGCCACTTTCCACCAAGCGTGATAGAGGCATGTGGTAAAAATAATGTCTACATAACTCCCTTCCCGGCCAATGCCGCACACTTTATGCATCCCATTGATGTAGCTGTATTCGCCCCGATAAAGAAAAAATGGAGGTAGATGCGTGATTAGTAAAGAAAGGAGTCTTGTTTCCTAGACTGTATCCAGAAAAAGAATCTTTCGAACCTTGTAACGTGGTACTTGATATTTTATCTATTTGTTATAATGTGTTTAAGCTAAATTGATTTTGGGCGTGGGTTAGGTTATTAAATAACTCGAATAACTTTGAAAAATAAGTTGGGCACCACTACATTTAAAACTTACTATACTTGACTTTAGATTAGTGATAAAAATATAGAAAATCACTAACCACTAACAAATTATATTTAAACCAAGTTTTAGATAAGGCAGTAGCAAATTCTAATTCACATAGCTTTACTAAATTGAAATTTAAGATGATTTATTTAAAAGCACTTATCTGTTCTTAGAACGAGGTAATATAAGGAATGTTTATTTGCATGGTCTTCTTCAGGCAACGTCAAAGGGATTCGGTATCCTTATTCTTAATTCTGGAACTTGAATGATATCGTGAAATTTGGTATTCTAACTTAAACTCGAATGTGTAGATCTTCTATAGATGAACCAAACCACGGTCTTCAGATTGTACCAAACTTCTAGGTATAAAAACCATAAAACTTCTAAATGGGAATTCAAAACGTCTAGATATAAATCCAAATAAATTGTCTTGGAAGGAATTCAAAACTTCTAGATATAAATCCATATAAATTGTCTAGATATAAATCGAAATAAACTGTCTAGATATAAATCGAAATAAACCTTTTAGATATAGATTCAAATAAACCGTCTAGATATAGCCATGCTAAAAAGAAAAGGTTAAAATGTTAAGACAGGAAATAGGAAATTGGAACAGGATTTAGATAAAATGCTTTAACAATTAAATGAACAATTAAAAACTATTAAATGAATAATTTCACAGATAATTAAATTTATATAAAAAGGAAAAATCTTATTGAACATATTTAACCCTTTCATGCATATTGTCCACATATGAGGACATAACTTTAAACATATATAAAAAATACTGAATCGCTCAAATTCACTATAGTTAGTTCTTATTGTCCTCATATGAGAACCATAATAGTAAGTAATCGAATCGGCAGAAGGCGCCGGCAGTCGTAAACCTTGAAAACTGAGTTAGCGCGTAAAATATATCCCGACTCGTGTTAGTGTATAAACGGCTGTGTGTTTACCACTTTTTGATATCGTGTTTCGACATAATGCCGACAAATTTTGGTAAGTTAAAATAAATTAACTGTTTTTAGAGTGTGTGTCGAGGATATTAGATTAGTTTTATTTACACAATTAGCGAAATTTATTGTATTTTTTGACAAAATACGGAGGTCCTCATGTGGGGACAACATGGAGAACATCAATCTCATTTGTCCCCATTTGAGGACAATGTGTGTTCAAGTTATTATTGTATTATTTTGATTATTTCTTCAAAAATATATTTTTTTTACTTTTCAGCCTAAAAATGCAGAAATATAAAGATCCTTTATTAGGAAATAAGGAATTGGAAGAAATCGTAGAAAGTGGTATACTGTTTGAAGATAATTTTGGAATCGAGAAGGAAAGTCTTTTACAATATAATCATTCCACAGACCTGATACATCCGTCTTCCCAAATTATTTCAAAAAGTATGGATGTAGAACCTAGTACTTCTTCAAAAAGTCTTGAGGCACAACCGAGTACGTCAAAATGTAGTAATGATTCTCAAAATAAAATTGAAGAACGTCCAGCTACTGCATATTCATACAAATATGATCGCCGCAGACCACTTACTATAAAAGAATTAGAAGAGGTGGCGGAGGGGTCTGAAGACGGATTTGAACTCTCAGATGAAGACGAAGAACCTTTTGAAACTGATGGATCGGAATATATTCCTTCAGACTTCAATGAGGAAGAAAGTATAGGAGAAGACGAAGACTCTGCCGATACCAATTATGAAGAAGACGAAGTAACAGAAGAAACATCAGAGCCCACGATTCAAGAAGATCAGTTAGAAGTGAAAACGAAAACAAGGAAACGAAAAGAAGCAAAATCAATTGTATCTAAGAGTAAAAGATTTAAAAAAACGAGAACTAAAACCAAAGAAATTACTAGAAGGTGGATTTTGGATACTGAACACCCTTTAGCGTCAAATGTTCCCGAATGCAGTAAAAAACACAAAGTAAATATCAACTTTCAATCTCCAGGTGACTACTTCTCTTATTTTTTTAGTGATAGTTTATTTTATGATATCGCATATCAAACTAACTTGTACGCTCACCAAAATGGAAAACCAAATTTCAACTTAACGGTACCGGAATTAAAAATTTTCCTAGGTATTACAATAATGATGACTTACATAAAATATCCAAGAATTAGGACTTATTGGAGTGCAGATAGTGGTCTCCGAATGAACTTTATCGCAGATGCCATGGCGGTAAACCGTTATGAAGCAATTAGACGCTATTTGCATTTTACTAATTCCGAAGAAATTCCAGAGAACAACACAGATAAATTTATTAGAATACGACCAGTTTTAGATCACTTACATTCAAAATTTCACGAAGCTGTTGATCCGGAAGAGTATATGTCTGTGGATGAAATGATGATACCTTTTAAGGGTCGTTCATCTGTGAAGCAGTACCTGCCCAAGAAACCAAAGAAATGGGGCTATAAAATTTGGGTACGTGCAGGAACATCGGGTTATATGTGCTGTTTTGAAACATACCAGGGAGCTTCTGGAAATAGGGAAAATATCACCGAATTAGGTGTAGGTGGTGACGTCGTAATGCGATTATGCCATGATATAAAGGGTGAGAATTATAAGATTTTCGCAGACAATTTTTTTTCCAGCATTCCATTAGTTCTTGCTGCTAAAACAGAAAAGATATGGTACCTTGGGACGATAAGAATTAATAGACTTGAGGGAGCTGGAGAAGTTTTAAAGAGCCACAAGGATCTAAAAGTTGATGGTCGCGGTAGCTCTTCAATTGTAACAGCTGATGGAGTGTCCATAGTACGCTGGCTGGATAACTCCTTGGTACATACCATATCTAACTATGTAGGTCTAACCCCCTATGAAGAAGCCACCCGATTTTGTCGAAAGCAGAGACAAAACATAAAAATCACTAGACCTCGAGCTATAACTGTTTATAATAAACACATGGGAGGCGTCGATCTCATGGATATGCTGGTAGCACTTTATAGAAACGACACAAAAAATCGAAGATGGTATATGAGAGTTTTTTACCATTTCTTAAATGTAACAATTGTGAACGCGTGGCTAATCTGGAGGTTTAATAAACATGAACCGTTAGACTTACTGTCATTCAAAACCCAAATTGCTACATCTCTAATTTGTAAAGGAGAAGGGCAGATGAAAAGAAAAGAAAAAGGTAGGCCACGTAGCAAAACTCCACCAACTCCATCACACATAAGGCGACCTAGAATTCACGTACCAAACGAAAGAAGGTTGGATAATATTGGCGACTGGCCAACAAAAAATGAACAAAAAAATGCTTCTAGGTGTCAAAAATATATTGTGAATTACATCACTATCCTTCTGGCATTTGCCGAATCAACAACTTATTTCTTAGAAGCTCTTATCTCATATTTTATGGTTATGGCAATTCACTTGATAATTTACTTTTTTTGTAGTTAGATACATTATTGTAAAAGAAATAAAGTTGTAACATTTTGACATCTTTTTTTAAATACCAAATTTTTAGTTCAGAAAATATTTGTCACGTAAAAATATTCCATCCAGATGAAAATACAAGGAACCCCAAATAAATCCATATAATTGTAATTATTGTTATTATTCTAGGTGTAGGGAAGCAAAATGCAAACGGAAGACACGGTATTCCTGTAGCCGTTGTAAGGTGGCATTGTGTCCGGAATGTTTTGGGGATTACCATGAGTAATATTAGCACACTTTGTCCTCACATGAGGACATTTTTTTTTTTGTTTACAAAAATGTAACTTTTTTCATTTCTATCAGTTTTTTAACAACCAATAAATAGTTATTAATTAGATTTGTAGCTATTTTATTTTTTTTTTGGGTTGAAAAAAAAACATGCATGAAAGGGTTAAACATATTTAAACATAGTAAAGCAAAATATCTTATTCCAAACAAAATAATATATAATTTTATATAAAACCATGTGTTGCCCATTGTTGAGGTTATATGCAAAATTTTACATTTCATTTAAGAAATTATTATACAAAATATATATTTTCAACAATATATCAGTATTAAAACTTACCTTATAAAATCAGACGGATTATAAAAAACATTAAAAATCAATTAGTACATCGGATGACCAAGATATATTAAAATTCAAATCAACTTGATTCGTTGACATCCAAATTATAAATAAATCTCACAAGGCGAATAAAAAGAGAAGACGACAAATGACATTTGAGTAGAGTTGAATGTAGCAAAATAACGAATAACGGTTCCAACCGTTACAACCTACTGAACAGATTATGAAAAGGAATAAGTCAAAATATAGCAGAATATCTCAAATCAGGATTTAGAGCAACTGGTTTGCATCCTGAAAATCCTGACGAAGTTTTGAAGCGCATTTCTGGTGGAATAAAAGATGCAGACATCAAAAGAGTCTTAGACAACGGCTTGATTGATTTGCTAAAAGAGCACCGTAGAACAAGGGCTGAGAAAAAATATAAAAGGGGAAAAAAGTTGAACCTGGATTCGTCTCGTATCGTTACAGATCCTGAAGTTTCTGAAAATCCTCCAAACGTTTCTGGGGAATTTTCAACATCAGCTGGCGAACCGGGACCCTCTTCTGTTTTGCCATGCACACAGCAACTCTCTATCTGAAAGAGCAAGAGGGAAAGAGTGAGTCCTGATGTGGGATCTGCAGGATTAATTGAAAAGACTACAGAGGCATAATTTATTAGATCCAATGCACGAAATGTCGAGCATTGGTTTGTGGATCCTGTAATAAAAACAGCAACCACCCTTATTTTGAGTGCGAAACGGTGTGTGGATTCGGAAGACAATTAATTACCCTTCGATGACAGTTATGCCGACAAGAACTTCCAACTTGATGAGTAACCAGTGTTTTTTTGTTGATATGTGCCTTATTTTAATATGAGAAAATTTGTTTATCTTTTACAACTACTTCAGTCCTTCATTGTTTATTGACACGAGTTTTATATACTTATAAAGTTCAATCGAAATTTTTGTAGTGGTTTCAATTTGTGTTCTAATCGTTTTTTTTTTTTAATAAAATTTAAAGTCTTATAACGGACGGCAACAATGAAAAAAAAGCATATGTAACATCAGAACAAAAAATATGTTACTAGAATATATTACCAGACATCCAAAACTATTAGCAGCTAAATTGTATCCAGATTTCACCCAGAAAGATGCTCAGGGATTATGCCAAAAGATATCCAATATCCTGAATAGTTGTGTATGTGCTAGAAAAGACTGGAAGTCATGGAGAAAAGTTGGTATAACTTAAGTTATTATAACTTGTTTCATAAATCTAAAAATATAAATGTCTTAGACCTGTTAAGATATCAGATGTCGTACAAAATCTAAGACTAGTAAGTTGAGGAAACTACGTACGGCAACTGGAGACGGACCTTACACAAACAATGAAATTACCACATATATGGATGAAGTATTGGAAACAATTTCTGTGGTAGCTATCGAAGAATATAACCAGGAGACAACAAAGTGTGTTAATGATGTTTCAGTTACCTATCCTGAAACTGCAACATGTTCAAATGTAGAAATTGCTGAAACATTTGCAAAAGAAGCCTACAGAAAGTGAAAAGGGCATAAAAGACTCTTTTCCTAGGGCACCAATAAAAAAATAAATATATGTTTCTCAAGCAACTCGCCATTACAAAGATTCACTTTACATTAAAAATAATTTAAAATCTAAATATTACGATAAAAAAATAGCTGTATCAGAGCGGATTGCACGTGCTTTAGAAAGGATTATAGAAGTTCAACAAAATATTGCACTTTCTAAGCAAAAAGCGCAGAAGCAAAAGTTAATATTGCTCAAAATATAGGCATTGTATTCTTAACATTTATTTTGTAATTTTTGAGTAAAAATATTTATGTTACTCATCAACATGTGTAAAATTCCACCCAAGCTAGTCGTTGAAAAGACCAGCAGGAAACGTAAGCCTGTTGAAGTGCAGATATAATGCCAATATAAATAGGTTTAACACGTTCCCTGCCAACATAATAGTAATTTTGACCGTATATTTTTTAAAATTTGTATCCCAAAAACCATAATGACGTATCTTAAGAATAAATTAAAGACACTGAAAATTTTCAAAAATATGTCGTGAATTACATCACTATCCTTATGGTATTTGCAGAGTCAACAACTTATTTCTTAGGAGCTCTTATCTCATATTTTATGGTTATGGCAATTCACTTGATAATTTACTTTTTTTGTAGTTAGATACATTATTATAAAAGAAATAAACTTGTAACATTTTGAAATATTTTTTTAAAAACCAAATTTTTCAGAAAATATTTGTCACGTAAAAATATTCCACCCAGATGAAAATACAAGGAACCCCAAATGTATCCATATAATTGTAATTATTGTAACAAACATTTTACCCACAAACATCACTCTCGTTATCGTTTAAATAAACATGAAGGTAGACAGAACATAAACTTTGAAGATAATGAATCAAAGAAGTGTCCACTTTGTGAACATCGTAGTGACTATCAAAAAAATCTGATTATTTAGTTTGAAAAACAGCATCATATAAATATTAAGAGAAGTCATGTGACACTTTCTACAATTGAGGAGTTTGATAATTATTTAAGTACATTTGTCTCGTTTCATAAAGAAAATGTCCAAAACAAATTTCAGAAATTTAAATATAGTTGTTCTTTATTAGTGATCAATAGTTTAATTTATTTTTATCGTCTACTGAAAGACACTTTTAGAAACGCTATTATTGTTTGCCTTTTATGGTAAATAAAAGATAAGGAAGTTAGTCATCGCCAGCAGTGAGTGATTAAGGGAGCTTTCCAGTGTAAAATTTTCAAAAAATCGATTTTTTTTATTTTTGCTTTATCGAATAGTATACACTCTTCCGAATATTCCCTGAAATTTTAATGCCGAAATTCAGATTATTCCGGTTACTGTACAGCATTTCTTGGAAGAAGGCAACGGAGCGCTACAGCTGCCGCGTCGGCCGTCTGCCCGTGCGACCTTTATTTCTATTGTCTCGTTCCTACCTGCTCGTGTCCCTTCCAACGTGAGCCCGGTTTGTTTTTCAGTTCGGTTTCGACATTCAAAATGGATAGATCTACGAAAGAGAAATGTGCGTGGCAGGATAGAAAAGGCTCGAGAAGCGCACATCCGCGAAATGAACGAAAAAGATCCACGGGTTTCAAGGGAACAAATCGACACGATATCGAAACGGATCTAACGTTTGCGAGCACTTCGGCAGCAAAAATCTTGAAAAAGAGTCCAGAGTTTGAAGTCCGAATCGATCAAACGTTTAGCTATGTGATTTTGGAGTTCTTTTTGGTTTTCGGCGCTCTTCAGGAACTGTTGAAGTGCAAAAAGTGTAATAGCGACGTGAAGTTTTTTAAAAAATCGATTCGCGGCTTGGGCTTTAAAATTTGTGTTCAGTGTTCGTGTCCAGATCCGGCCGAGATAGATTCTTGTCCTTTGATAAAAAATGCTTATGAAATCAATCGTCGTTTCTGCTTTGTCATGCGATTGGTCGGCATCGGCATAAATGGCATTAGAAATTTTATCGCCTTGATGGATTTAACTGCAAACTTCAACAATAACACCTATTATGGAATCGTGAAAATTCTGCAGATTGCAGTGAAATCAATATACGAGGCCGTCGTGAAAAAAGCAGGTACCGAAGAGAAGGAAAAAACTTTGGAAGCAGAAAATCAGGGCGATATTCTGACGGTGTCCGGTGATGGATCGTGGTCGAAACGCGGTTTCACGTCGCGCATGGGTATTGTGTCCGTGATTGGAAAATATACCAACAAAGTTTTGGATGTTGCTGTCAAATCAAGCTTCTGCAAGGCTTGTGCATTCTGGAAAGGACAAGAGGGAACACCCGAGTAAGAGGCGTGGTTTGAGACGCATGAATCCGAATGCAACGTCAATCACGAAGGCAGCGCGGGAAAAATGGAAGTCGACGGTATAATCGAAATATTCAAGAGATCAGAAGAATTGCACAACGCGAAATACGGTTTCTATATAGGAGACGGCGATACAAAAACATTCAAGATGTTATTAGAAGCCAAGCCGTAGGGTGACGATTTGACGGTAAAAAAAAGGAATGCGTTTGGCACGTGAAAAAGCGAGTATATAAAAGGGGAAACGAAGCAAGAAAAAGGTTAGTTCAACTAAAAAAGGCCAAAAAGCAAATCGAAGACAAAGCAATGGAGAGCTTTAATCACTGTGTGTGGCAACTAGCCCCAAAGCACGTATTCTGCGGCAAGCAGATAGTAGAAATCGCTACGCAGTGTGCTGTGTGCACCTTCAATGAAGGTTACGACCCAATTTTAAAAATTTTGGAGACGATGGGATGCACGATAGGGCCGAGCGCCGCAGATTTCGCTGCTAAGTACAAGAATGCGCGCATCACCCAAGCAAACCGCCGGGCATCCCTGGATAGCAAAGAGGCGAGGACAGCTCGTCGGACTGAACAATCCATTGAGCACGATCTTTTCGAAGAAGCAGAAGGGATATTGTATGGACCTGGCATCGCTGATTGACCGTAAGTAAACGATTTACCTAAAATTTCCTCACTTGAAACTTTAAACGCGTTTTTTCGCGAAACAGCATTTTTCAAAACGGTGTCCAACTTGGAGGGCAGAGTTTTTAAAGCTATCGAGTTGAATTTTTTACACAATATTCTTAACGTCATTGTTTATCGTGCTATGGAAGCTTTTTTTTTTGACATCTTCCTATTTTTTTGTAAAAAAACTGCCAAAAAAAATGCTAAAATCGATACTTTTTGTTCAAACCGGCGCCATTTTTGCAAAAAAAAAAAAAAAAAAAAAAAAAGCCTCCATAGCACGAAAGCCAATTATATACCGATCAATAATCTTTTTGTGTTTTTTGTTTCAGATCAAAATTGTGACCCCCAACGTGGACACCACATCCAAGTGCATTTTCTGCAACAATTGTTTCAGCATTTTTATAAATATTAATTAATAAATAAATCGATCTTTAAAAAATTGTTTTGTATTCTTCAATACCCAATTAATATACAAAAAAAAAACCAGCCCGATTAGATTATTTTTTCTTTAAAAAAAAATCGCGAAAAACAGCGATTTTTCGGGCTGTCACACTGGAAAGCTTCCTTAACGGGGATAATATTCTTTAGGCCGGCATACGGCATTCAATTGTGAGACTTGATTAGACAAAGAATTGTTAAGTAGTTTTGATTTGTAATAAATTTATAATTATTACTGAGTGCAGTTTCATTTAAAACGGACCTTTTAGTGCAGCGGTGGGATAGATCCTATTGTGTTTCGAAGACTGGTTAACACGTTCCCTGCCAATGTATTATGAGCGATTTGGTCGCTCAGCGCCAAAATGTTTTTTCATTGCTAAGTGATGAACTAAACTAAAATATTTGTATTTTAATATCATACGCTATCGATAATTAAATGTATCCAATATTTAGAGCTTTCGGTCAAAATGACCGACGCGGCGTAGCGCAATTAACTTGATCGTGCTGAGCCGGGTCGGTCACGGCTTCGGTCACCTAAAAGCTCCGTGTTTTTGAGCTTGAATATTGTTTGCGTGGTCAGAGGAGTGGGGTTCGCGACGTTTTCGATAATTGTGACTTGTTTTAGTACGTTATAAGTTGCCAGGCAGACTACACGATTTTTAGTTTCGTACGTACGTAAAACAGTTTTTATTTTATTGAAATTTAGTTCGCTTATTTTTGCAATATGCCTAAACGAAAACTTGCGTTTATTCGTGATGATAAAAATCTTACGGAATCAGAAATGATGCAAATGTTTGATATGTCTGACGAAGATACTGATGACTCGGTTGAAGAGAGAAATTTTGTACCCAGTTCAGAAGGTAAGATACCAACAATATGCCAGTATAAATAAATATTATAAAGTCCTGTAAATTCGCTAATAAAATTTTTTAACTTTTCAGGCGAATCGTCTTGCAGTCAATCGTCAGGGGATCACCCACAAGAAAAACGTAAAAAGTCTGGTGTGATAATGGCTTCCAAAAGCTCCAGTGCCAGTACTTCAGATTTGTCTGTACCCAGTACATCATTCAGAAAAATAAACAGTAACAACAATCAATTTGCACAGAACCGGAACATCCCTTCAGATTCTTCAGAAGACGATCTCAGTAGAGAATATATGCAAGTACAACGTGGAAATAATGATTCCTGGTACTTACCTCGCCGCCAACAGATTCAGTTTGGAAATTTTCGAGAATATTTTGGAGTGAGCCCGGCAGTAATTGGAGAATTAGTACAGGGCAAACCTGGAGATTTTTACATGGCAGTTGTTGATAATTCTATTTTCAAAATGATTGCTGATCAAACCAATATCTACGCTACTCAGAAGATAGAAAATAGTTCAAACGTCTCTGCCTCCTCACGACTTCATCAGTGGGATCCTACAAGTTCTGCGGAAATGAAGCGGTTCTTTGGATTAATTGTTTACATGGGATTAGTAAAAATGCCATTTTTGAAAGATTATTGGAGCAGAGATCCCATTTTCAAAAACGAGTTTGCACCCAAAGTGATGTCTCGAAATAGATTTGAAATTCTATTGCGTATGATTCATTTTGCCAACAATGATGAATGCAGAGAAGGAGACAGATTACATAAAATTCAAGGTCTTGTCGATAGACTTGTGCAGAATTTTGAGGCTCTTTATCATCCGGGAGAAACAGTATGTGTTGACGAGTCGTTAATTCCTTTTAGAGGTAGGCTAATTATGCGTCAATATATGAAACAAAAGCGCCATAAATATGGTATCAAGCTGTTCAAGCTATGTTCCGGACATGGGTATACACTACGTCTAAAAATATATGCTGGAAAAAACCTTGAAGTGAGAAAGACAACACCAACAAGCGTGGTGATGGAATTATGGGAATCTGTCTTAAATGTAGGACGTACTGTGTATACTGACAACTGGTACACTAATATGGATCTTGCTAACCAGCTTTTAGATAAAAGAACACACTTAGTCGGAACACTGAGAAAAAATAAAACAAATGTGCCGAAAGAAGTTACCCAAAAACACAACATGAAAAAAGGTGAAATGATTGCAAAAGAAAATGGCAGAGGAATCACCGTTCTTAATTGGAAGGACAAAAGAAACGTTATTATGTTATCAACCAAACACTCGAATGAAACCGTTGAAATAACTAAAAGGAATGGTGAAAATATTATTAAACCTACCGTTGTAATTGACTATAATAAGGCAAAATCTTCTGTGGATTTATCGGACCAAATGGCATCCTACTCTTCACCTCTTCGAAAATCTGTAAAGTGGTATAAAAAATTGGCAATTGAGTTACTGCTATCAACAGCTGTGGTCAATGCCCATATTTTATAGAAAGAATGCACGGGCAACACTATAGGTATTGTTGATTTTCGAAAAGAAGTAGTCCGACATTTAATTTCAAGCGACGACGAGCAACATCAACAACAGGCAAGAATAGAACAAGAGAGACCACGAAGAGTCCGCCATAATTTGTTAAAAAAAGAAGGAAGAGCCGTTGCAGTAAGAAGACATTGCAAGGGTTGCTATGAAAAAGCAGTCCAAGATGGAAAAGAGCCTAGGGAAAGAAGGAAGGTAAAGAAAGTGACCACGTTCTGTTCGGGATGTCTGAATGAACCATTCCTATGCCTGGAGTGCTACAACAGAATTCACAAAAATATTTAAATATTTATAAAAACCCTTTCATTTTAGATTATATCATTACTTTTGTAGTTATTTTAATATTATATATTAAACAATACATTTTATTATTAAAACAATGTGTTTAGCTAACCAATTAAAAAAAAAGGTAAAATAATTTAAAAAAAAGGTAAAATAATTAAAAAATCAAAAAAGTTTTTATGTGCTTTTTGCTCTCCAGGCCGTTTCGGTCACGCCCTATGCACAGCATCGTATAGCTTGTGACCGGCGGCGCTCTAGAAGCACGCAAAGGATCGACTGATTTTTCGGTCATAATGACCGACGCGGCCTGATACGGTATAACACGTTTCGGTCATTTTGACCGACTTGGCAAGGAACGTGTTAATAAAAAGGTTAGTGTATTCATGTATATTTTTTTAAATTTCTATTTTACGAAATTATTCCATGTCATGATTACGGCTAATGCTAACAAAAGAAAAATTGTTTTAAACTGTTTATAACAACATCGGATAAGATTAAAATATGTACGGGTTGTCCATATTTTAATAAGTGCTATATGTTTTAGCATTATTATTTGAATACACATGTTTTGTATTCGGTTTTATTTTAAGATTGAAATATGTACAGGTTGTCCATATTTTATAAGTGCTATATGTTTTAGCATTATTATTTGAATACACATGTTTTGTATTCGGTTTTATTTTAAGATTAAAATATGTACGGGGTTGTCCATATTTTAATAAGTGCTATATGTTTTAGCATTATTATTTGAATACACATGTTTTGTATTCGGTTTTATTTTAAGATTGAAATATGTACAGGTTGTCCATATTTTATAAGTGCTATATGTTTTAGCATTATTATTTGAATACACATGTTTTGTATTCGGTTTTATTTTAAGATTAAAATATGTACGGGGTTGTCCATATTTTAATAAGTGCTATATGTTTTAGCATTATTATTTGAATACACATGTTTTGTATTCGGTTTTATTTTAAGATTAAAATATGTACGGGTTGTCCATATTTTAATAAGTGCTATATGTTTTAGCATTATTATTTGAATACACATGTTTTGTATTCGGTTTTATTTTAAGATTGAAATATGTACAGGTTGTCCATATTTTAATAAGTGCTATATGTTTTAGCATTATTATTTGAATACACATGTTTTGTATTCGGTTTTATTTTAAGATTGAAATATGTATAGGTTGTCCATATTTTAATAAGTGCTATATGTTTTAGCATTATTATTTGAATACACATGTTTTGTATTCGGTTTTATTTTAAGATTAAAATATGTACGGGGTTGTCCATATTTTAATAAGTGCTATATGTTTTAGCATTATTATTTGAATACACATGTTTTGTATTCGGTTTTATTTTAAGATTGAAATATGTACAGGTTGTCCATATTTTAATAAGTGCTATATGTTTTAGCATTATTATTTGAATACACATGTTTTGTATTCGGTTTTATTTTAAGATTAAAATAAATACAGGTTGTCCATATTTTAATAAGTGCTATATGTTTTAGCTTTATTATTTGAATACACATGTTTTGTATTCGGTTTAATTTTAAGATTAAAATATGTACGGGGTTGTCCATATTTTAATGAGTGCCATATGTTTTAGCGTTATTATTTGAATACACATGTTTTGTATTCGGTTTTATTTCAAGATTGAAATATGTACAGGTTGTCCATATTTTAATGTTGTCCATAGTTTAATGTTGTTATATGTTTTAGCGTTGATATTTAAGTACATACTTATGCTCTGTATGATATTATATTTTCGTACTTAAATAAATGTATACATGTCGGTAATTATTTATTACAGAAAATTATTGAATTCGTGCAGTTGTAA